ATTAATTTCAAATTTAAAAAAATTATATTTTTTTAAATTCATTAAACATATAAAAATATATAAAAATAATATAAAAATAAAAAATATTTTTTTATTTCTAATAATTCTTTTTATTTATCTTAATTATTGTAATGAAACAGATAAAATATTTATTTTAAAATTAACTTGCAAATATCGATTTGAAATTTTTATGCGTCAAATAGTTTAAAGGAATTAATATTTTAAATTATAAAATATTATGGAATTAGTTTAATAAAGAAGGAAATGATGTCATATTTCTTTTTTTTACATATTCAGAAAAATATTATCGAACCTAATAAAACATTTTACTAATTAAAGATAACTGAAAATAAATATTGTCTAATCTGTTTTCTATTATAAATTTGCACTTATTATAAAAACAAAGTTGATTCATTTATATTAATATTTAAAAATCCTAACAATACAATTCAAATTATTTCATAAAACAATCTTTAAAATAGAATACTTAAAATAGAAACACAAAACAAAACACTTTTTTGATATTTTTCAATACTTGAATGAAGCATTTCTTGCATTATATATTTTAATAATAATTTAATACTTTCTAGGCATCATTCTATTTTTGAACATATAATAGCTAATGTGAATTAATTTTATTTTATGAATGTGATTTGAAGAAACTTAATTTTGTAAATAAAAATTAATATAATTTTTTAAAAAACAAGTAAAAATTTATTGTACTCAAGATTATGACTATAATTTTTTCCTTATAAAAAATTAAGTACACATTAAATACAATAAAAAAAAAAATGTTTTAAATAGATATAATATTCTTAAATTTGATAACATGTTTCCAATGTTAAAAAAATAAGATTCAATTAAAAAAAAAATAAAACGCACTTTTTATCTTTACGAAATTTATCCTTGTAATATTTTATAATATAAAACAGATCTGACTTTTCTTCTCCTCTGCGAATCATACGATTCTATTTAACCAATTCTTCTTTACTGTTTTTTTTTCGTGCTCTATCATTTCTGATCTTAATTAATTGATTTTTCTATGATAAACATAATTACCATTACATGTATAATCAATCAAACAAAATATATGAAATATGATTAAAATATTATATAATATTTGTTAATGATGGAATTTGTGTGATTCTCCTATGATTCTTCTGAATGAGAAAAGAATGGTACAAGCCATAATTGGCTTGTGAACTGTCAATTATCCAGGCCTGGTCTAAAATATTATGATAATAATTTATAAAAAAACATTATCCTCTCTGATTTTAATGACCTTAAAATATATTATCAAGCTCAATATTCTGAATAACTTTTTCTTATATATGTTATATTATTGCTTAGTTTTCAAAATATTTATAAAAAAAAACTGTCAGTAGCTCTACAATAAAATCTGCCTATAATTGTAACAACATATGCCTTAGTATTGGCTGTTACCATAAAATGGCTAAATATAATAGATTAATTCAAATCTCATTTTTTATTTATAATATTTATAAATGAAGATTGATATAGATTCCTTGGATGAAAACTTATTGTACATTGTATATAATAAATCTATATTAGATTTAGATTTGCATTATCAAACCAAATTAAATCAAATCTAATCTAATTTAAATTAATTTAAATTAATCTTACTTTTAAATAAATATATTATAAATATTAAAAATATTATATATAGTATTTTTGTTTATAATTCAAAAATTAAGGGCGAACAGTAGTAAAATACATAACATGTAGAAAAAAGTTATTCAGAATTATGCCCATATTTCAAAGTCATTAATAAGGAGAAGTTTTTTATAAATAATTATATTATAACGTTAATAACAATATTATAATGTTAATATTTGTAGTGATTTTGGAAAAAATAGCTTGTAATATTTTATCTGTTCATTATATAATATATAATATATCCATTATATAAAATGGATTTAGCATATTTTTGTATATTATATAATGTGTTAAAATATTCATCTTTAGAGAATTGATTTCAAAAACTAAAATAAATATAATATGATATAAATTTAAAAATATCGATTAAGATTTATTTATTAACTTATAGATGAAATGAGATGGAAATAGAGCCACTTTGTTTTATTATATCATATATCAAGTTCTTGTTTTATTTAATGAAATATTAGCTTTAAATAAGCTAATATTTTGTTTTATTTTGGTCTCTAAAATCAACTTTTTAAAGATGTTTCATAAATATATTAATTTTTGCAAAAAACCAACATAATGATATAACAATAAACTCCAGTTACATGATATATATTTGATAGATAATCAAAGAAAAATTAGCATCATCTTGAATTTGCTAAAACTATATTGTCAAAAACTCTTCTAATTAGTTAAGAATTGAAACTTTAAGAACTTTTAATTGTCATTCATTATTTCTTAAAAAATTATTCATTTTATTATTTGTGATACTAAATATAAAAAAGCACTTAGAAAAAACAAGACTATCATCATAACATCATAAATATTAGGAAAGTATTCAAGTATTAAAAAAACATTGTACATATTGCTAATAAAAATTTAGTCCAATTTAATTTCATATATGAGAACAAGAAGTTCAATTTTCAATTAGAAATAACTTTTTAAGGAATAATAAAGCAGATAAAACTTCTTAAGTTTACTCAGAAGATATTATTTTTAACAAACATCAATGTTAGAATTGATTTTTAATCAATTTTATCAACATTCTTTTTTTTTTATGATAGCATGTCTATAATATACAAGTCTACTTAAATATACACATATTACTAAATTTAATTTTCATTACCTTCTATGTTTTTATTAAAATTGTTTTTTCATTACTCTCTTGTATGGGTCCTGGTAGAGGTATTTCATTATTTTTTAAACAATTATGGATATATGCTGCTTTCCATTTAGCATATTTTCTATTTTGTATAGCTTCTTCACTCAATTCTCCAAAAACAGTTAATACATCATAAAGTAATCCAGCTGTAAAGAAACTATGTATCACATTCTTTCCAAAATTAGCTGCTCTATCATTTTTATCTGCGTAGAGAAAAAGTTTCAATGCCCAATTTTCTAAATGTGCCTGAGCAGCTATATCATTTGTAATAGCTTCATTATCATGTAATTCCTTTTTAGTTGTTTCTAACCAATCCATTAATTTCATTAAAAAGTTTGTTTCCTTTGGTGATTTGGTTGATAATTTTAATCCTGTTTGAAGAGCATATAATCGACCTATAATAAAAATTAATAATCCTATTTTAAAAAATCTTAATAATTTTTCTTTCTATAATAACATAAAGAGCAAATTCATACACCAATAACTAATAACAGGATCTCGTTGATCATGCGTTGATGCTATTTTTAGATAGTGTTGTATACTTTTTAAAGATAATGGTATTTCTGGTAAATCTAGGTTAACCATATTGAATAATAGATTTAATTAAACTGTTTTTTATTTTTTCTTGTTTTACTCTTTGTTTCTTATTTCACAATCTCTCCTATAAGGACTCTTTTCTGTAAAATATTTACAATTTATGACAAATTAAAATTAATTTTATTATCTGTTTTATAACTCAAGAAAAAAAAATGTTGTGAATTAATACAAATTCATAATAATCATATGCAAGTTTATTTAATAAAATTCTTGCAAAATGCTTTTGAGAATTATCTTTTATTGATAAACATTGTGTTGCAATAATTGTCTGAATAATTGATCTAATATTCTTAACACAGAGAAATATTCTTGATAGAAATAATAAATTATAATAATTGTAATTTAATTAAATTTGATTTTGTAATCGTTTATGTAAAAAATCAATTAATAACAATATAATAATTTTAAATTAATTTATTCCATAATTCTATAAAAACCCTAATGTAATAAATAATAATTTTTCACGAATTATATTATAAATATTTATTGGATTTGGAGGTTCGAAAAACTTTCCTAATTGTAATTGACATGAATTGTAATAATAATATGAAAGAATGCAAACTGATGTTAATTAATTTTTAATTTTTATGATGTTAATTATATTTTTAATATATTTTTACCAATATATTAAATTAATTGTCAACTTATCGTATTATCTCTATTAAAAGAAATTCTTTAAATAAATCACTATTCTTCAAATAGTTAATTGTCAATGAAAAAAAATAAATATATTATCAAAATCATAAAGATATGTAACATTATATATATATATAATATAATATATATAAATATATATATATAGTATATATAAATATATAATTTACTTTAAGTATGTAAATTATAATGTTGGCAATATCATTTTTGCTATAAATGTGTGTAGGGAATTTCATTATTTCACAGTTTGGAGAGAGATGAATCGAATCATTTCGCTAATTTTTACAAAAATTATTTTCATAATTGACTTTAATTTCTAAATATATCATATATTATGTAATATCGCTATAAATGTTCTTGAAAAATATAAGAACATTTAAGTTTAACTGAAGATACTTGAAATAATTTTAATAATTAATAATTTTTTTCTTTGCAAAAATTTTTAATAAAAAAAAAATAATAAAATTAATTAAAATTTATTAAAAATTACCATTTGTAATTACTTTGTTTTTTGAAATTAAATGGCAAGTAACAATTAAATTTACTTAATATATTTTAATACTTTTTCAATTTTTATTTTATTATTTAATTATGAATTTTTTAATTGTGATAATTAAAAGCGATAATTTTTTTAATTTTAAAAATAAATTTGATAACAGATAAACTCAGAGTTCGAAAAATTTATGATTCAATGAGATTGATTACCATTTTTGAAAAATAATATTTATTATTTTACATGCTAACATTTACATAGTCTAGAATTCGATATAATTTATTAATTAAACAATAAAAATTCTTAATATTCAACTGTTATCGTTTATATATTTTAATAATAAATTCGGTATCATAAATCTGAATATCCAAAAATAGTGACATAATTCTTTTATTTTCATAAATTGAAAAAATATATTATTTTCATATATTGAATATCATCAATATTTATTTAAAATTTTTTTGAAAATTTTTTTAATTAATTAATCATAATTTAAATTTATAATTTTTTTTATTAATTATTTATTCATCAAACTTTTTATATTTATTATTTTTTTTAAATAATTTAACATGAAAAATTGTTAATATTGCAAAGAATTTATTCTATTGAAAGATTTTAATATATTAATATAAAAATATAAAACAAAATTATTTATTAACAAAAAACAAAAAATTAATAAAAACGTTTTAAGAGTTTTTTAAATAAAATTTTGGATTTACGTTTATTACTCATCATAGTATGAATTATTGGCTAATGATTGCAATTTTAGATATTTACAAGATTTAAAGTTAATAAAATTAAAGAATTTATTTAACATATTATATTTAACATAAATATTTAAGAAATTGATTACTGTATTGGTTAGTTGATTATGATATTATTATTGCTGAATATGCTGTACATGATACAACAGTTAAATGAAAAAAAAGTTTTCTCGAAATTATTAAAAAGATATTATTATTTTTAGATTTATTATTTTTCAATGGAATGATTAAACAAATGTAAGGACATATATAGGACATATATAAATCAAATTTGCTAGTAATGACGAACATTATTAAGTAAATTAAACTATTAATTAATTTCTATTACAGCATATTATCTCAATTTTTATTTTACTGATTATATTATATTTGATTCAAATATTCGATAATGTTGATGAAGCTTAATTTTTGTATATAATATATATTATAATATATTTTTATTATATATTTGTAATATAATATATTATTATTTTAATTCTCAATAATATTGTTAGATTATTAAAATTTAAAACATTTTATTTTGTATTTTATATTTTTCAGTGAAACTAATTATAAATGATGAATACAATTATAATGAAAACAGTTATATTAATTATGAATATATAGATAGAATTCAATATGTAAATTTTTTATTGTATAATATTTTATTAATATGGAAACTAATAAATTTAAAGCAAAAGTTTCAGATTTAAAATTTATTTCTCTCTTTCTTTCTTTCTTTCTAAATTTCGTATAAATTAGAAGTTTCTTAGAAGTATATCTATTTGCTACAACAAATTATAAAAGTATCAATTAAATTTAAAATAAATCATTAAATAATATTTTTGAAATTATTGAATTGATTAAAATAGAGTTTGATAATTATCTAGAAAAAGAGTTCTTCGTAAATTTTGATAATTTTTTATTATGTTGTAAGATAAGATTTTGAATTTTTTTTATATATATAATTCTTTTAGTTATAATCTTTTAGTTTTTGAAATATTTACAAAAAAAGATTATTATTATATAGAATTTATAGAATTATATAGAATTTCTTTTATAGATTTGTTGCTGTGTATGTAAATATGCGATTACCATTTACCTATTTTTAAACATGGATAGTACATTAAGTATATGATTAATAATATATAGATAAATATCAAATATAATATTAATATTCATTGCAATAGTTATTATCATTTCGGTTATCAGATCATTTTATATTTTTTACATTCATGAATCCAAAGGATTTATTATAAAATGTCCAAGTTTAGATTGGTTTTGAGACATTTTAAATTCATTGTAATTTATAAGAAAGTAAATTTTTGATTTAAATTTTGATTAATTTACATTTTAGTTACTTGCTACATTATATGTTTACATTAACAGAAGATAAGCGACCATATATATAAAAAAAATTCTATGAAATATTAACAATCTTTTCTGCAAAAGTCTTAAAAACTAAGTGATAGTTACATATATAGAAAAAAATCATTCAAAATCTTGTCTTTATAACATATTTAAAAATCATCAAAATTAATGAAAAAAATTTCTCTTCTAAAAAAATAATTATTGTTATTTTATATTTTATTTTATATCCAAAAAATGTATAGAATATCCAAGCTTTCCATGGATAAATATTATATAGTATGATGATTTCTATAGAGTATGCTTGAAGTTTATGCTTGTTTATGATGTGAGATAGAATTGAGATATTTCAACAAAAAAATAGCTTTTCCATGTTCAATTGTTATAATTAGTATTAATATATATGTATTATTATATATTATTATATTATTATATATATTTATATTAACAAAAGAATGATTATATGCTTATGTATATGCTATTACAGACACATACATATAAATGAAATTTTATATAGCAATCTTGTTTTTAAAAATAACAAAAAATATATTATGTATTTTCCCTTTCTCGTTTGATTTTTTATTTTAATGAAAATAAAATAAAAATAAAGAGAAATAATTTTGAAATTGAAAAAAGTTGTTCAACTATTTAATTATCAAATTCGGAAATTTAATTTATATAATAATTTTAAAATATAAAACAAAATTCTACAAAATAAAAGATCTATTTTTTATCTCCATGTTTTTTTTACACAAGTCTATTAGCCCAATTAAAAGTTTATATAGTTAAGAAATTATTAATTTAAGTTAATAGACTTGTTATATAACTGAGTTTAGAGCATCATATTCAGTCTTGAGCCGATTATCACAAAATACGGAGTAGCAATGGAGTAGAAAAAAAGTGCATACTATATGAATTGAGCATACTAAAATCAAAATCTCAACCTAGGCAAGTCTCAACCAGTCAAATGTATCATTAATATCCTGATTATATAATAATAATAATATATAATATATAATAATAATAATCAGAATATTCAAGAGAGTGAAATTTAATAAATAAATTGGACCCAGATGTTCCAAGACGTTAAGCACAACGAGCAATCACACCGTTGGAACAGAAATCAAACACATAAGTATTGATAAAAATGGCAATACAAAAAGGAATGACAACAGAAAGATAAAGTGAGACAATAAATTAGAAAAATCTTAAAAAAGTTAAGTCAAACAACCTGAATATCTAATAATAATATCTAAATTCTTCAAAAAAAGAAAGTCATCTATCTAATAGGAAAAAAAAATTCCATCCAATGCAAAGCAGAATATTCCACAATCTATTCTACAATCAATATCCAAACTTCACCATTAACAAAATATCAATGGAAAACATTCATAAGTAAAAAAGTCAAAATAATAATAAAGATCTCAGGAATAGCTCATCAATTTCAAAACATAAAATATTCTCCAAGATTAACTCAAACATTAAATAAGAACAAGAATTAAGGAATAGGGAAGCTCCAGAGAGAAATAACCAATGTAAACAATCCTGAACCACATAAATCTAATGCCCAACAATCATCTATTAAGTAAAATATAGAGAGCCTTATAAATGCATCTATTAAAATCATTTGGAATATGCGGATAATACGGGAATAAGTTGCATTTCTATTAAAAAAAATTGATCAATCAGCCATTAATCCTACCAAAAAATTGCATAACTATCAACAAATCAAAAATATTTTGGATATATATATATATATATATATATACATTCCAAAAATACTCAAATCAAAAATATTTTTTCTTAAGAGAGTCAAAGGAGGCTAATGAAAATGATATTGTAAAAAATATAAAACAATTTAAAATATATAAATATATAAATACTATTTTAATAAAGATTAGTATGACTTCATAATACAAGTGATATCAAATAGTGAAACAAAAACGCTTACAAAACATATTTCTTTAACCAATGCTTCAGATGGGACTTGCTTAAAAAATAAAAAAATTTTCAATGAAAAAATGCTAATTCATCAGTTATGTAAGCAGCAACTGCTTTTTATTTCAAATGCGTCAAATATACAAGAAATTAGTCCTAAAAACTGTAAAATCACAATCGAATGACAAAACCAATTCGAATGTTGTAATCAAATGAATCACTTAGCATCTAACAAAGGATACATCAAATATAACAAGAAAATTAGAGAAAATCATCACAGAATCGAATATTAAAACAGAAATGATTAACTCATAAACAATTATATCAATCTTAATAAATCATATGTTCAAGCTATAAATCCTAAAACATTACAAACATTAAACTCTTAAGAAATCATCTCCTAAACAAAAGTCACTAAACTATAGTATCAGTCATCCAATATCATATTTATCATATTTGCAGAGAAAACTTGTACTCACAAAGTCACAGATTCCTAAAACTTAAATCTCATATCAATAATAGAAAGCCTCAAGAAAAAATTATAACAACTACATGTACAACTATATGAGATAAGACAACAAAATCAATCAATATTGAAGTCATTACAAATAACTTGGATATACAATGATGATAAGTACTCAAGGATCAGTAGCTAATCAGACTGATAAATTTAAAATAATATCAATAAATGAATTCCATAATATCAATTCAACACAAATATGAATTACTGAAATTTATCAATTAAAATAATCCAGACATTATCATCATATCCAAAATCAAATTAAAACTCACTAAATAAGATTTTAACTGTACTATACAAAGGCAAATAGATCAAGAAGCAAAGCACACAAGCTTATGTAATTATTCGAAGACATTTAAAACTTGAAATCTATCTTTATATTCTATTTTACAACACAATGATATCTTAGAACATACTATTGTCAACTATTGTCAAAATTCTATGTCAACAATCTATATCAATAACAACATTAAAATCTACATTATTAATACTTATGCAAACAATAACAAGTATAAATTCATCAAAGAACAAGACAATCTCTACAAAAATCTCAATTTAGACAAAGTGACATATTAATTGATGATATTAATATTATCAAAACATAAAAATATAAAAATTGGGATTATACAATTAAAGAAAACAGCTTTAATTAGATTTAACAAATGGAAATGGATTAGCATTAGAATGAATCACTTTCATAGCAGACAACATATTACAATTCACAAATCTTTTTAAATAAATATAAACTTTTACAACATTGAATTATAATAATCATATGCAATAATAGAAATTTTAATGCAAGTACTTTAAATATATCTCAGTAACAAATTTGACTTTACAAAAGCCATTAACTAGAAAAAATTGCAAAACAATTAATTTCCATTCCACATGACAAAAATCTCACAACTGAAGAAATCAATATATTACAAACATAAACATTCTAATCCAATAAATACAATCCCAATCAGAGAATCCATACAATGAAATTTAAATAAAAAAAAAATTATATAAAAATATATAAAAATTATATTATATAAATATAAATTTACTATTTTTATGAAACTAAACAGAATAAAAAAATCTTCAAAAAACAAATTTATTGACACATGTCAATAATTTTAAAATATCTGATTAAAAAAACTAATGGAAAATATAGATATGAAAAACTAAACAATGGAAAAATTTAATGAAAAGAATAAACTACAAAAAACAATATTTTTATCAACAAGATAAAAAGAAAGAAATCTATATTGACAATCTAGTAATAGATCAAAATTCACTTTTACTTCACAAAAACTAATTTATTAATTTTATTAGAACATTCCCACATTCTAACAATAAAATTGAAATCAATAACATACAGTTTAAATTGAATATACTATATGTCCATTAAAATAATTAATTCATTTAAACATGATAATAAAAACAAAACTAAAATAATAGATAGTGGCAAAAGAAATAAACATAACACTGGCAAAATTAAAACTACCAAAAATATTTTAATGTTCACCAAAGATAATATAACAATAAAGCTAGCTCAAATTACAAAAGATGATTACTATTTCAGTTCATTAACATCAGTAAAACAAATATTCAAATCCTTCCAAAACAAAATGTCATTAAAAATTGACAATATACAATAACATTTTTTAGAAAACAACAATTATCTTCAACAATGCACTAATTCAATTATTGTTACTTTCCCAAAGCATGAAAATGTGCAAAAATCATTCCAAAAAAAAATAAAAGATCCAATACAATTGATTGAGCCAACTATTCTCCAATAAATGTTATAATATTAGTAAAAAATATCAAGTTATAATCAATAATATACTAAATCATTACATAAAACATAACAAAATCATTCCAGATAATGAAATTTAGTTTGAGATATCAATATTTCATAATATAATACTTAAACTAACAATAAACAACTATATTTTAACAAAATAATAATAAGTTTTCCTTGATATTGAAAAAGCTTTCGTTTTAGTATAGCTAAATGATCTATAAATTAAAAAAAAAAAAGCATTCCAATTACATCTAATCCTAACAATCTAAAATATAATCCATAATAAGGAATTTATAAACATTAATAGGAATCAACTTAAATTTGAAATAAAAGAAGGAGAAGAAGACAGTAAAGAACAGAATCAATTCATTAGTATTATTCAATAACCTTTGCAAGTGATTTAATAATCTATGCAATTGGAAATAGACTTAAACATACATCACATTATAGCACACAAGCTCACAATATTATTCTAAATGGAATCTTAAAATAAATTCAAAAAATGTGAATCAATTCTATTTAGAATTTCTATTTAAAATCACCAATCACCTCTTAATAACAAAAAAAGCTGAAGCTGCATCATTCCAAATAAAAATCCATAATTTTGAAACAATTAATTAACTAAAGTCGCACAAACAAAATAATTAAATACTTAAGAATCCATCTTGACTACTTAACCAGACTCTCTCACATAAAAATTCAATGAAAAGCTATCATGGAAACAAAACAGTACTATCTTTTATCAAAAAATCATATGCTATTATAATAACTAATTCTAACAATTGCATAGTGGAATATAAGTTCAAAACAAATGCAAAAATTAAAAAATTACGAATTTATGAAAGACTTCAGGATCTCAAATTATACAAATCTCAATATAGCAACTAGAGAAGGATTGATAAAAGTTAATTCTTTTGCCAATTTATATAATGTAGCTTCAGTAGCATAAATAATTTCATAATACAGTTCACCAGAAAATACTCAGTTGCTAAAATATTATATAATGTAATATTATGTAATATTAATTTAATTAATATAAATTCCAGTTCAAATAAAGAAATAAAAAAGTAAGCAATAATAAATCAACAATAATTCTCAAAAAACTCTAGTACAGAATTTCTTGTAGTATATTCATAAATTTCTAGTATATCCATAAATTCAAACATTTATACAATTAGATAATCTTAATATAATATAATGAAAGATAATTCTTGTCTTTTACTACTGATTAAGATATTGAAATAACAGATCAATACAAATATAAACACAATTATCATGAATATAAATAATCATATCTACAATGAAACTTTTCCATTCAAGAATTACATCAATTATAAGAGATTTAACAAAGCATTCTGTGATTCAACAAAACGATTTTTATTGAAATAAAATACAAAAATATAGTATAAAAAAAAGTGAGAAGAAAAAAAGAATAAAAAAAAAATAATACGACAACCATAAATAAACAAAAAAAAATTCACATAAATAAACAAACATTTGATGAAAACTATAATAAACTATATGATAAACTATAATATATATGCCAATCTAATATAAAGCTGTACATATAAAAGAATAACAGAACAAATCGTTAATATTATTTTTAATAATAATAATAAATAATAATAAATATTTTTTACCACTTCATTCATCATCACCAATCAAATTTATTGCGTATTTCATAAATTATTTTCAGTTCATATTTTATCAACATTAACGAAAAGTTTTTTTACACATAAGTAGCTTTAGTTTTTCTCTCTCATAACATATCATTAGCAATTATGGACTCATCATATACGATAACTCAAATATATACATATTCTACCATACTAACGCCAGTGAAACTAGAAAAAACCTTAACAAACTGAATCCACAAGAATCTTTTGATAATTGTTTCTTTTACATATACATTCACACATAAAATCAATGTAATGCATATTTTTTTTAATAAATATATTACTAAAAAAAAAAGTTAGAGTGTCGTGTTAATAAATCGCAAATTCGATTCCTCATGAGTTAAAATTTTTTTATCCGTGTTCTATAATTAATAAAAAGTTAAAAAATGATTAAAGTAATTTTATACTTTAGGCAATCAAAATTTTCATTTTTTTTTTATAAAAAAACTAATTTTTATATAATAAATTAAACCATTAAATGAATAAAAAGCAATAATAAATATTAATAATAAAAAAAATAATAAATTTATCTAACAGACAAATAAAATACAACGTTAATATTTTTCAACAAAAAATAATTTTTATTATATTAATATATATTATAAAATGCATGAAAAAATATTAAAAAAATTGCTATTTTAGTCTTTTTATATTAAATCTGTTAAATATTTGAATATTATCATGAAAATTTACATGAAAAAAATTTATCAATATTTTAATATTTATAATATATAATATTAAAATCAGAATTTTTTATTTGACATTTATATATATACAATATACATATTTATTGTTGTTTTATTTTGTTTTTATATATTATTTTCTTAGATATGAATGATATAGAAGTCAAAGTTTAACTAATATCTAAATATTTTTATGATTTATTATATTTATATTATCTATATGATAATTCATATACTTATGTGTGTATGCGTGCGCGCGTGTGTGTAATCTTTCATAAAGATTAGAAATTATTAATATTGCATATATAGAAACTGCTAGAAATTTTTTAAATTCTTAAAATTTATATCTAAATTCCTAAAATCTATATTATTATATATTGATATATTGCTATCATTTTTGTTATAAGTGAATCATGTATCTAATGGAAAAAATGTCAATTTTACAGTAAGTAAATTATAAAAAGATCTCCTGTAAAATCAAATATGTAATATTTGTTTGCACAAAAATTAACTAATTATATATTGTTATTAATAGATGCAGTAGAATAATTTCACATATAAATAATTTACATACTTCGAAGATCACAACTGGCAGATTCAACAAAGTAGAAACAAATATTTTAATTCATAATTTTGAAAACTAATTTAATTTTTAAAATTCTTTATCATATTATAGATTTTAATTGCAAACAGAGGAGAGATTGCATGTCGTGTAATAAAAACTGCTAAAAGATTGGGAATACAGACTGTAGCAGTATATAGTGATGTGGACAAAGATTCTTTACATGTTGAACAAGCAGATGAAGCATATTATATTGGTCCTGCACCTCCAAGTCAAAGTTATTTAAGACAGGACAAAATTATATCTATAGCAAAGAAATCAAAATGTCAAGCAATACATCCTGGATATGGATTTCTTTCAGAAAATGCAGAATTTGCAGAAATTTGTCAGAAAGAAAATATTATATTTATTGGTCCTCCAGCAAATGCAATTAAAAATATGGGAATTAAAAGTACTTCAAAGAATATAATGATAAAAGCTGGAATTCCTGTTATAGCAGGTATAATTAATATTAAATATAAACTTGTATAATATTATATTATATATATATATATTATATTTATATTAATAAAATATATTATTAATAAAATTAGGATATCATGGAAAAGACCAATCTAATGAAATTTTACTATTGAAAGCAAAAAAGATAGGTTTTCCTTTAATGATAAAGGCTATATGTGGTGGAGGAGGCAAAGGAATGAGAATAGTTTTGAAAGAATCAGAGTTTATTGAAGCTTTAGAATGTGCAAAGACTGAATGTAAAAACGCATTTAATGATTCAGACATTTTACTTGAACAATATATCAATAATCCAAGACATATCGAAATACAAGTTTTTGCAGATAAATATGGAAATATTGTTCATTTGTTTGAAAGAGATTGTTCTATTCAAAGAAGATATCAAAAAATTATTGAAGAAGCACCTGCAGTATGTATTTAAATTTTTAATTTTAACAAACATGTAACAATATTATAATAATTTAATTTAAATATTATAAAAATAAATATTATAAAAATTATTATAAAAATTATATAAAAAATGTTATGATCTAGCCTGGAATTTCAGCAAATATAAGATCAAATTTAGGCACAACAGCAATTCAAGTGGCAAAAACTGTGGGATATATTGGTGCCGGCACTGTCGAATTTATAATGGATTGTAATACAAATAATTTTTATTCATGGAAATGAATACACGTCTTCAAGTAGAACATCCTATTACAGAATTAATCACAGGATTGGATTTAGTTGAATGGCAGTTGCGAATAGCAGCAGGAGAAGAACTTCCATTAAAACAAGCACAAATTAATTTTAAGGGACATGCTTTTGAAGCAAGAATTTATGCTGAGGTAATCATTATTTTTTTTAAAAGCAAACAAAACATTTATAAAACATTTTTTATATAAAATGTATATCTTATGTTTCTTCAAAATAAAATAGTTTTAATTTTTTTCTTAGCTAATTAATTCTGTAAACAACTTATTAAATTGAATCTATTATTTTTAATTATTTTTTTATAATTGATTATATATAATATAATATATATAATATATAATAAATTATAATATTAATAATATAATATTATAGTTATAGTTATTATATATATATTATTATATATATTATTATTATTATATATATATATAATATATATTATATAACTTATTATATAACTTATTATAACTTATTATATAATATATATATATAATATTATATAATTATAAATATAATATTATAATTATAGAATCCAAGAGAGAATTTTCTACCAGGAGCAGGAAAATTATCTTATATGAGAATTCCGGATATTAGAAATAAAGCAATTAGAGTAGAAACTGGAGTTCGTGAGAAAGATCAAATATCTGTGCATTATGATCCATTAATTGCAAAATTGGTTGTTTGGGGAAGAGATAGAGAAGAAGCTTTAAATATACTTAAATCAAAGTTAAATAATTTTAATGTAAGTAAAATTTCAATTAGATAATACGTGATTATATTTTATATATATATTTTTTCATTGATATTAAAAGATAAATATATATATATGGATTTAGGCATATGCTTGTATGCAATTAATTCATTAAAAATTTACAATATTTAATTTATTTGCAATAATTTTTGCATATATTTTTAGATAGCAGGAATCGACACTAATATAGAATTTATTAAAAACTTATGTTCTCATTCAAATTTTCTACAAGGGGAAGTACACACAGGCTTTATAGAAGAACATTATCAAAAATTATTTCAAAAATTACAAATGCCAGCTCATATTGCAGCTCAGGCTGCTCTTGCCTTGATACTTTACGAAGATAGGCATTCTTTACAATCATCTTTTACAACTACCGACCCTTTCAGCCCTTTTGCAACTGAAATTGGTTTAAGATTAAATCATACTTTAATGCGAACTTTTTGTTTTAAAGTTTACGATGATGATATCAAAGTTGAAGTAAAATACATTGAACCTGAGATTTATTCTATGAGAATTAATCAAATTGGTCCTTGGAGAAGAGTAACTGGTTTCTTAAAGAAAAAAGAAAATTCATTGGAATTATGTACCGAAATTGATGAAACAATTACCAAAGCAAGAATAATCAAAATCCATGACAAATTATATTTATTTACAAAAGCTAATATTTTTTCTTTCTAATATATTTTTGAATAATTTAATTCAAAAATCGATCAAAAAGTTATTTATTTCAATTTTAATTTTTATAGGATCGTGAATGGCAATTTAATATATTTCCTACAAAATTTCTTCACAATATTACAAATAATCAAATTGAATTAAATCCATACAGAGCTTTAAGTCCTATACCAGGTTTTATAGAAAAGTTATGTGTTGAAAAAGGAGATATTGTAAAAATTGGAGACGCTTTACTTGTGATTAATGCCATGAAGATGGAAGTATGTTTATTCTAATTTCAATATCATTATAATTTTAAATATTTATGTTTGAAAGTTAATTTTATTTATAGCATATTGTCAGAGCATCCACAAATGGAATTGTTGAAAATATACTATGTTCAATAGGTGATAATGTACCAAAAGATAAACTTCTTGTTAAACTAACTAAATCTATATCTTAAACTAATGTATATATTAATATTTATATCTATATCTTAATTAATTACAATTTCATCTTTTTTTTGTAAATTCATAATCAAGTAGTTTTATTTTCAGAAATTTATAATATATAGTAAATTTATACTAAATAAATAACTTTTTGTAAAAAATAAAAATAAAAATCTTTCATAAAAAAAAATCAAAAACTTATACATTGATTTTTTTTTTTAATTAAATAAAAGTATGAAATATAATTATTTCCAATCAAATGTTTGCATATTATTCAAAATTAAATTAGATGTTTTATTATTTTTAATTTTCATCTTATTTATTATATACGCAATTATATACGCAAAATTATGCATTTGTATAAAATCTCATATTATAAAAACTAAAAAAAATAAAATATTTCTTTTAAATTTGTGTTTGGAATGAAAAATTTTATCAGAATCATTTAATGAATATTGTTTAAAAGAAAAAAAATTGTTTATGATAATATTAAGTGCATTTATAATATGCAATTTTTCATATAAATTTTTTAATAAGTTAAGCACATACAATATACATAATTTTAATATATTCATGAAACATTAATATATTCTAGAAACTAAAGAAAATTCAAAAATATCGGCTGGAATTTATTTAGTAAATTATAAATAATTTAAGTTTGTATTAGATGAAGGAAATAGAGCAAAGTCGGTAATATGATAAAGATAAAACTCTCTTATTTTATCTTGCTTCATTTCATGTAATCTTTAATTAATCTTTATAATTCTTATAATATCTTTATAATTTAATAGATGAGCTTCAATCAAAATTTTTGTATATTAATTTTTGTGTTTGTTTTGCGTTTAGAATCAATCTTTCAAAAATATCTCATGAATATATTAATATTTTGTATATATATTAATATAATTTAATTGCTTTAAAATATTATATTAGTTGAAACTATATATTTCATTCCATTTTATTATTATGAAAAGTGCGCCAAACGTATTATTTGCTTGTGAAGAAATATATATTTTAAAAATGGCAGAGTGGTTTTGAGATAATTCTTTAAATAGATTAATAAAACAAAAAAAGAAAAAAGAAAAGAAAATAGCAAGAAAAATGAGTAACTTTCAATCTCCTATGCGATGTATTTCTCCTAATGCGAGGTAATATAATAAATGAAATATAGAAAAGGATTGAGGTTAGAAAATTAATTATATATTTTTTATGTTACTTTAAATAATTTAATTTATAGAATTCTGAGTGCCAAACCTCAAGTTGAACAAACGCTCAATATAAAACAAGCACAAAATAAAGCAAGAAACAGTATTACGTGGTTTTTTGTCAATAGTTCTTTACTTGGAATTCTCGTTTTCGATATGTAAACAATTAATATTTTTTTATATTTCAATTATTTATTCTATCAATATAAAAATATATTAAAAAATATATAACTAATATGTTATTTTCTTAGATTATATGGAGGTGCAGCATATAAACCATTTTGTTGGGCTGAATGGTGTTTGGCCTCAATATTTGCATTAAATGCTCTATATCATATCACAAGATATGCATGGTCAAACTTTTCTCTACGACCAATTCTGTTGAGTCCTAAACAAAGACGACTATTGGGTGTATCAGAAGATGATCCTTTTTTTAAAAATGAACTATCATTATCTCAAAAAACATCTGAACCAATTCCATTAAATTTATCATGTATAAGTCTTAATAGAAGAATGATTCCACTTGGCTCTACAGGATTAAATGAATCTAGTATGAAATATATTTTTTTTCCCATTCTAATATTATTTAAATTCTATGAAATATATATATATTTTATGTTCAAGAGGATTTTTCACCTTCAAATCAGTTTTTTAAATATGATAGTCCTACATCTCAAAGATCAGCTTCTAGTCCTAATGGATCTTTTAATAAGCCTTTCAATATTTCAACAAATGGAAATTTAACTAATGAAGATTTAATTCAAAATGAGAAGGAATTAAAAAATTACTTGGAAAAAGCACGTCAAAAAAAAAATGTTCTATCTACAGACATTGATCAGCCTTCTAATTTACTTAGTTCATTTTGGTCACATCCTGCAATTAGAAGTCCTGGAGAAGTTTCTCCATTATTGAGAAGATGTGCATACCAAGTAGCACCAATTATAGGTAAGATTATGGATAATTTTTTTTCTTTAAAAACAAAAATTATACTACTTTTCTTTTTCATAGATAAATCAAAATCAGTTAGTCCAGGTGCTGAAGAAGGAAATTCACCTAGAGGTATATTCGGTGTATCAAATATTTGGAGGAAATACAGAATTGATTCAATTAAAGTAAATGAATGGACAGCTAATCTTCGCATGGTAAATTAAATGTTCAATACATTTCAATATAATATTTGAATATACATTATAACAAATATTATACAAATTATTTGTAAATAAAAAATATAAATTCAACTTTCAGTGGATCAGCAAAACAGTCATTGAACGAGTAGCAACTGAAATTGATAATGTTTGTTTAGCATTAATTCGTCATGGTTTAAGTGATTCTCAACCAGGATATGTGGGATTACATAGATTGAGAAAACTTGCACAAGCACCATTCTTAGTATCTGCTATTCCTACTTTACCAACTTTGGTACCTTTTTTAGAATTGTCTAATAATCAAGAATACTTAATTAAGAGAATTAAAATTCTTGCTAAAGGAGGATCAATGAGCGAATTCAAATGGAATGGTGGAGGATCTCATAATGGCAAAGAATGGGATTCTAGTTTACCAACTGATTCTGTGGTAAAGTAAATTCTTTTAAGATTATAGAATAATATTTAAACAAGTAATTAAAATCAATATGTATTTTCATTATTTTTATAGATAATTATGCACTTAGTTTCAACATATATGGACACGCAATTGGAAGCTCCTTTAGATCAACCTGATGCACGACCATTTACATCAAGATATATGGCTAGGTCAGGAATGGCTTTACCACGTAGTAAGGGACCTATCATAGTATGTCAATCTATAAATCCACCACATTATAATTTGGCACATTCCGGGGATTCATCACCTAGCGATTATGAAGAAATACAACGTGTAAATAAATTTTATTAAATTTATCATTATTTTTTCTTATTTTCATTTTAATACTTGTAAATTGATATTAATTATTTTTTTTTTCATTTTTAGGGTAGAAACAACTTATTTCATACACTTCTATTATTTTTATATATTGTTAAAACAAGAGATCATGGTATGCTAGGTCGTGTAAACTTAGGTACATCAGGTATAAACGTTTTATGGGTAATCGATAATTGAATATCTGATGTTCTAACAAATAACAATATTATACAACAAATATTTGATGACGTAATATTTATTTTTTTTTTACTTGCATTTTTGTTATTAATAATTTGTTTCTTGATATATATTCTTTATGTGTGAAATTATATTCAGCGTTTTTTGTATTTTTTTTCTTATATTTATCTTATTTGAAGTATACAAGATGTTATTATATTCGTGAAACATCTTTAAGATTTAAAACATTTTTGCAAATCAAAACAAACACAAAAGCTTATTTAAATATAAATTAAATATAATATGTATAATATAATATTAAACATATATAAAAAAAATCAAAAACTGCTTCAAAAATATTATTTGATAAATGTTATTTATTATTAAGCTATAATTGAAATTTGTGTTAGATGAAGATAATGAGGTAGTTATATTTTTATCTTAATTCAATTAATGCAAAAAATTAAATTGCTTATAATTGTGCTAATAAAGAAGCTAATAAATATAGCTTATAAGCTAACAAAGAAGTTATTTTTGTATAAATCTTTTTATTTTTTTGGTCTTTAGAATCAACTTCTAAAGAAGTTCCATGAATATATTAATATTTTGTAAATTAAAAGAAAATTTCATGTATAAAAATTATTATTGTGAAACTAGATAAAAAATTTAAGGAGTAATTTCTAAATATAAAATTGGTATACAAAAAACTTTATTTATGTCTTTATTTATGTATATTTTTTTTATCTTACTTTATTTAATACAAAATGAAATAATTTATAATTTAAAAAATAAACTTTAATGAATTTTTTTATATGTCAATTTTGTTTGTGGAGTCTCTTTAGAATTACTTTAGATTTTTTGTATTATTCCGAATATCTTGTTACAAAATTTGAACCAGTAATGCAATAATAACGATTTGCATTTTGTCCAATCAAAGTCTTAAATATTTATTGATTTTAGACAATATTTTTGAGACTGAATTATATCTAAAAGACAGATTGTGTCAGAATATATACCTCATAATAATTATATTCTTATCTTTATTCGATGATATAAATATGTATGCAGTATAATTTTTTTTTTTTTATTATTATATGGTTCTTATTCACTTGTGTTCATATCAGGTCTAAAATTTCTCAGATATAAACAATTTTTTTTAATTTACTAATTAAAATAAACATACAGGAACATATTAATATATTTTTGAAAAATCAAAAAGGACGAAAATAAATACAAAAAATGATGTACAAAAATGAGTTGAAGTTTATTTTTTAAGTTATAAGCAATTTAAGTTTGCGTTTGCGAGATAAAAAGCGAGACAAAGTATGGAGATAGAATTATTTCATTGTCATTTCGTTTAATTGCTCATTTCGAAAATTTCGGAAAATTCATAAATAAAAGTTTCAATTAATATTTTTTTATATTAACTTTTAATTTTCATATTTCTTTTGATATTTAGAATCGATCTTCTGAAGATATTTCATGAATATATTAATGCTTCATATATTTCTAATATATGTTTTTTTTTAATATAAAACAAACAATGTAATTTGTTTAAATAACTTATTTCGGGTTATATCTGCTATAGTTTTATTTGGATATTATTAGAATTAGGTTATAATTATATATATATACAGTGGGTAACGAAAATATTCGAACGCTTACAATTTATGATGAATGAAATATATATTAAAGGAATTTGTTTAAGACAATGAGAAATATATATTAGGAAGGAAATCTCAAGATGATGTCAAAATTTGAAGATGATTCACCAATTTGTGCAATAATTGTACATTTATTATAAACATGCACTGTTAGTAGATTACAAAAGTATTCGAATGCTAATACGTTCTTGATAGTTTTTAAACACATTAACTAGAAATATAAATATAGATACTAAACGAGAGCATTTTTACGTTTATATCTTGATGTCAAGATATCATTCTATTAATAATATAATAGTAATAAAAGTATAATATAATATTCAAAATGAATCCGAAAAAGTCTGAAATACAAAAATGTGAATGAGAAACTTTCCTTCAGTTGCATAAGTATGGGAAATCATATAGTGAAATAAAATTATAAACAAAAATTATAAACAGAAGTAAATTTACGGTACATTATGTCATAAAAAAATCAAAACCTGAAGGAACAATTGTGAATAAAAATCGTTCAGTTCGACTAAGAAAATTAACTGAAAGAAAGGAAAATTATTATTCACGAAGTAAAAAAAAATCCTATTATATTTGCATTTACATTTTCAAGTATGATATCAGAAATGTTTGACAAAGACATTCATCCCCAATTATGCCAATGAGTCTTACGAAATAATAATTTTCATGGTTCAAAGTACCATGAACAAAGCCGTGCATTAATAAGCAAAATTAAAAGAAGAGATTGAGTTTTGCAAAAACATTTATAATAAAAGATAATGATTTTTGAGAAAAAATGATATTTTCTGATGAGTCTAAGTTTAATATTTTTAACTCAGATAGGCAAAATTATGTATGGAAGAAAAAAAAAAAATAAAATAAGGAATTAGACATCCAAAATGTATATTTAACAGTAAAATACAGTAGTCATAGTATGAGACTGCATAGCAGCTAGTAGTAGGAATATATATGGCAATAGTTATAGTATTTATTAATGGAATATTCAATAAATACAAATTTCTAGATATTCTAAAGGACAATTTCAAAAATAGTGCCTATTGGAATTGTTGGAAGACTTCTATTTTCAATATAACAATTTTAAACATACAGCAAGGATTGTGAAAAAATGAATTATATACAATATACCTCATATATTAAATACTATATCACAGAGTCCAGATATAAATCCCATTGAAAATTTATGGGCTGAAATAAGCAAAAAATTAAATAAATTTCAAATATCTTCAAAGCAGATGCTTAAAGAAAAAATTATAGAAATATGGAATTTCATCGATTGTAATTTTATAAAATCATTGGTTCACAATATGGAACATTGACTGAGACAAATTATTATCAAAGATGGTTCAATAATATATTAATGTTAAATAATACTGTATATAAAGCGTTTGAATACTTTTGTAATCTATTAGTGGTGCATGTTTATAATAAATGTATTATAATTATTGCATAAATTGCTGAATTATCTTCAAATTTTGCTGACATAATCTTGAGATTTCCTTTCTATTATACATCTCTCATTATCTTAAACAAGTTTCTTTAACATATATAACATATATGTGTTAAATAAGTTTCTTTAACATATATTTTGTTCATCAAAAATTGTAAATGTAAGCATTCGAATACTTTCATTACCCACTATATATATTCTATATGTATAGAATATTCAATTTATAAGTATAAATTATTTATAATATTATATAAAAAATGGATTCAAACAGGAATTGAATGGTTTTAGTGAAACAATTTTTCTGTAACATTTTATGGTCATCAAATGTAATCGTAATTTTATTACATTAATCAAAAATTTAATATATAATTGTATAATTTAAATTTTGTTAAAAAACTTATTATATAATAATAAAATTATTATATATATAATAATAATAAACTTATTATATAAAAAATAAGAAATATATGAAGCTGTTCTCGCTTTTTTTTTTATCTTTTATATATTAAATCTCACAACAAAATTACTACTTATTATTCATCCGAAAAACTAATTACATCATATTATATCCTCTTTGAAGCCATTTAATTCTTATTTGAACTGAATACAATAATAATACAGAATATTTTACATATAATTTATATTGTAGATTAAAATTAGACATATCACTTACCCTTTCACTTGACAAAAATTTATTATAAAATTTATTATTAAAGTAAAAATCTATTATAATCATTTTGATATTACGAATATATTTTATTCACAGTATTTAAGTATATGTACAAATAAATCATAAATCACATATATCCGCATCCATTGAAAATAAAACATAATATATTGTAATAGCATATAATTTCTTTTTTATAAATTTTTAGTTTTATTTTACAAATTTTAATATAATGTATTGTATTGAATATACATATGCACACATAATATAACAAGTATTATAAAGAATTTTTCGCGAAATTCTTAAAATTGAAACAATCTGATTAAATAAATGCATTGTATCTAATTATAAAATGTTCATTCCATCGATATTGTATTACACAAAAAATGCAATTATTTTTAACATTACCATTAACATAATTTGTATTCAATCTTGTAATTTTTGTTTTTTGCTTGTAATTAAAAATCCATATTTTGTAAAAAATTATGTTGAACTTTTTGTATAATGTATAATACATTCTTTGGATAACGGTTCTTTAAGATCAATCAGGTATATACACCATAATTATATGTTATAATAAAATGATAACAACATGTCAGATAAAAAGCAGCAAAACCATTTGTACATTAGTTTGTAATTTTTTAGTTTTAAAGTAGATTATAATTTTTTAAGACTAAATGCTGCCTAATAATCATTAAGTTATGATAAATTTTTTTCTTTTTTTAATAGTTATTATTGTAACGATATTAAAAAATTATATATTAATAATAAAATCAAAAATTTACTATTGATTATATTATATATTATATATATATATATATATATATATATATATATA